AGAGCACCTGCATTTAGATGATGTTCTGTCCTCACTGCTTCCAGCAGTTCAATCGGTATATGGTTTAAGACACAGACCACTGCATTTTGCTTAGTGCCACTGCAGCCAACAAGATAACATTTATGTTCTATCAGCTACACAAAGAGCAGATCTTGTGGATCACTACCAGATTAAAGAAAAGGTGTATGTGCATGCATGTGACCGAGCTTCCAGGTTTGGTTCATTCCTAGAAGAGGTTGCAAGGAACAAGTGCTTATCTGGAGGGCAGAGTACTGGAACTTTGTACATGTTTTAATGGCATGAATGACTCTTAGCTGTAAAGGGCATATTACCAGGGTAGTCAGTTTCTCAGTAGTAGCGTACATGAAACAAGGAAAAAATAGGAACTCTCTTGCAATGTATCTTGTCATTTTTTGTAAGGTAACTTTTGTTATCACCAGAGCATAATTTAATATGGACAGGGTCCTACAGCTGGTTTGGAGAAACACAGCATCCTGAACTGGCACTGAAAAAAATATTCCGAGTTAGTGTTGAGTATAGCAACAGCCTTACAGAATAACCCTTAACAATATAAAATGAAATACCCGAGAGCCAGTAAATTAAAATAATTAAAGTTAATCAAACTTCTAAAATCTGTTATGAATTTTTTTTAAATTAGACTGTATGAGCAGTTGACATTAACAGTTTTGAAAAAGAAAACTACCCATGTTTCTACCAATGGTTAGCATGCTTCTGATGAATGAAGACACACTGGAGAAGAAAGAAGTGCAAAGGCAGAACTCTCAGAAGAAAACCTGATCTCACTTCCCTTCCTAATTCTCAACAACACACCTGCCCTCCTCTACTTCTCAGGGGACCTTTCTCCAGTTTAGTTTTGGAAGAAAATGTTGCTTAGGTTCTGACATCAACACCCTATATTGCTTCTGCTTAGATTCCCAAATGTTCCTCCTCTAAATCACTGAGAACTCACTTTCAAACAAGGGCGGGGGGAGAAGGTATTGCTAATGCATCCAAAACCACTCCATTACTGAAGTACCTATTACTTGAAAATATCTCTAGACTCTCTTGAAGAGCTTTTGAAGAAGCTCTGGCATAAAATTTACAGCGTATTTGTATACTTGCTTCTTGCGTGAGACACCTCCCTCCCTTCAAGCAAACAAAATATCTGGAAACATAAGTGAGGCTTACAAAAGAGCCTGAAAGGTGAACGATTGATCCTCCTGAATAGCAGCATATAATCCTTAAGTCTTTCAAAAGAAACAGGTTTGATTAAAACACAGGGGATAACTGCTGTGCATGTATAAGAATAACCAGTGGTAATTCTGCTTTCCCAAGAAAGCAGTATGAAGATGAGGCTCTTGCTTAAGAAAGCTGTCCTGCCAAAAAAAACCCAAAGCAGATTATGGGAGAACAGTAAGGATATCAAAAGAAAATGAAGGAGTGTGCCACCACAGAGTTCTTCAGCTGCCAGCAACAGGATCTCTGACATCGTACTGTCAATAACTCATTCATACATTTTCCAGTGTTGTCCAAGGCTTCGGTCTGAAGAATCAATTCAGTTTCTCCTCTCTTCCCTCCTGAGCACTCCAAACAGGAAACTTGCCCATCACATGGCACAGCAAGAAGAATGCAACTCTTCTTCATAGCAAGAGCTTCAGTTTCCCCTCAAAAAAAGCTTAAGCTTCCCCCCCCCCCCCCCCCCCCCCACCCCAGCCCCCAACCTAGGCAAAGGTCCTCAGTTAACTACTATTTCACTCTTTAGAGGGCACGACAGCTGATGGACAACTCAGAACTCCCAAGCTACTCTTGGAGAGAACCCCTTTCATTGTTCTCTGAAATTTGCCTGTAACTACAATCTTTGACTAATGCTTAAATTCAGAATATTACATTTTGAGCAGGATTCCCGACTATAAAATTTGCTTGTTAATACATACACGGAGAGAGGCAAATGCATAGAAATATGCTCTATACATTGTAAAAACGTACAGGGAGTTCAACTTCTCTTTGGGCAACTTACTACAGCATTTAACATTAACTTAAAAGACATCATTTTATTTCATTTTACTTTCACTATTCGGGTACTTGGTGTCATATTAACAAGACACGAAAAGCAGTGGCAATCAAACAAGAAGCAGAAATATTACCCTACGGTATTTCTTCCAGTTAAAAGTTTAATAGGAAATGCAAAAGTTCATTGACTAGTGCCTCTTCTAAGTTACTGCTCCTAACAGCTGCAATTGCATTGCTATAGAAGTAGTATTTTGAAAGCTTCACTAAAAATATAAAACATTATAGTGTAAGACCAAGTAACAGTAGATATTCCCTGCCAATGATAAACTGCATCAACTTAAAGGGTAGAGCATACATAGTGGGGCTACTGAATCATAAATGGAACATACACCAGACTTCCATAATAACCCCAAGTGAAGAGAAGCTACTACTTATTAGAAAACTAGGTAAGCTTTAAGACTCAGGAAACATTCCAACATTTCGCATTCTCAGA